GTGAACCTCAAAATGTATGCCATTCTTGAGTGAACTGATACGGAAGTTAATGACACCAGTAGAAGATGAGTGATTGAAGTTATTTTCCTTAGGGGACGTTATTACAAAATTAGAGCCAGTTCTCAGATAATTGGGTCCAGAAAAACTCCCGTGTAAAAATGTCGACTGAGTAACAGAAGTCCCCAGCATTGACAAGCATTGCAATAAAAGACAATGTTGTGACTTCATTGAACTACAGGAAAAATACAGATTTTGTAAGATGCCACTGTTTTGGTTATTTTTCATGATCAGTGAGATAACAACGATACAACGATAAATCTGAACACTGCAAAATTCGTCTTTGTTGTGTTGAGCGACCGAATAGGGGTATGAAAATGGTGATATTCTTTGACGGTATCGATTTCAAATAAGCTAAGCGAATTTCATCGTCGTGCGTTTCATTGAAAACTTGTATATAGCTCGCTGAAGCTTCAAAACAATACAATACAATATGGTCCCTCATAACCTTGTAACTGCTGTAGGGTAATTCAAGACAACCCCTTAGTCTGAACAGGACATCAACGCACACACAATATTGGCATTATTATAGAAATAAACAATAACTTCACATCATGATCCACCTTTTTTTATTTCAGTACGTATTGTGTTAGTATTCTGCCGGTTTCAGATTCGCGATTAGGAACGTTTGGCATTATAACAAAACGGTCGATAGGCTTCTGCCATGGGCATATGAAGAAATCCGTCAACTGTTAATTTTCACCTCATTTTCAACAAGAACGCTAGGATGATTCTGATTGTCGTTTGAATCAGTCAAGACAGAAAATTGGTAAACATAAAAGTAGATAAATTTAGCATGCAAACCACAACGCGAAAGCGTGATTCGACATGCCTCAATAGGTCTATTGACTAAGGTGCCCTTACTAGGGTCAGATTGAAACTGATCATTGTACAGTTTCATGTGATTAGATGCACACCAATTATAATTTTATTCTAATGATGAAAATACGGTACAAAATTGCATCGCTAGTACCGCTTGACCGTTTTAATGAAGGATGTGCTTCTAACCCTTACATAGCGATGAGTTCCTTCTCCATAGAGCTGACTTGTTCCTCACGTAGGAAAAGCCGTCCGAGTATTTATTCATAGGATCCACTAATTTAGGTTGTCTTAACTAATTAATTCCGTTTTATGGCATTAAATCTTAATGGCTATGCGATAGCCTATACTGATAAATACCACAAGATGATGCGTAATATCACTATGATTTGTTTGGTACACAGTCTGGACTCAGATGTGTGTGAATTATAATATATTTATAATATGCGTAACATAAAAGAGACCTCAGAACCAGGGAAAAGTATACAGTCATTATTCTCCAGCAAGGATATGACAGTAACAAGGCAAACTAAATAAAAGTGAATAAGAAATGGAGGACTACTCCACAGAAAGGCGGAGTTCACCGAGTCAGGGTCGAAACAAGCGGTGTTCGTTACATGTATTTTTTTAACTCATCTCAATTGCATTGCTGATACTAAAAATCTCTCACAAAATTGCTACCACATGTGCACCGATACCGTGTCATTTCAATCGCTAACAGACGAATGAATCAATGATAAATTGAATTGAAGTGCCGATTCACGTCCGGTGGTAGAAGTACAGACGATTCACATGTGACCCGCAAAAGGTTAGCAAAGTGAAATTGTCACCGTATAAATGGACAATAATGTATGTGTATGTATGTTTTTTTGGAGCAACCAACAGCCTGAGATACTAATAGTAGTAGTAGTAAAATGTGTACCGATACGTTATGAAAACTTTCTCCTTAATAAAAACAATGGGGACAGTGATAGAGGGTGGGGGGGGGTTTCTGTAGTTTTGATATGCACCTTGGATCGGTTTGAAAACGGACTTGACACGAATATTAATTCACGGNCGGTGGCGACTAGATGACAACCCCCATGTGGTCCAATTGTACATCGCCTATCACCACAGAGAGTCACAAGAGAACAGAGCATACACATACACAGGTGTGTCATTAACACCATATGCACAGACAGTGGTTGCTAGAATCTAAAGCCTGGGTAGGTATGACAAGCAGAGGGCGAGGGACGGTGTGAACATGAATAAATAGTCATCCTTCACGTGCCAAAACCAAGCCCGGTGTTCTACAAGTCGTTTATCGAACGCGACAAAATGAAATGAATAATGAATACGCATTCTGGGCCTTGAAATGCATGCACCATCTACCTTAGATTAAAAGTGTGTGGTCTATCTGATTGATATAGCTGCCTGCATTTTGAAATAAATGACAAACTAAAGCGAGTTGTATCAGTAAAATAACATTGGAACTTACAACACAGCAGGATATGGATAGTGCGTAGCTGCTGCGGAACTACAACCAATTTGAACTGAACCTCAGGACATGTTTTGACGAGGGAAAGAATATAGGTTTTATGTCTTCGAATGTTGCTTTCTACTACTACATTGAGATCGGATTGTTCTTAAACAGGCCGACAATGTTTTCTATCCAACCGTATGGCGGAGTGTTAAACTGCTGTCACAGTTGTCACACGATTTAAATTAGTTCATGGAATGTCACATAAAGGATCATACTTTGAATTGTTCATCCGATATAACTAAGATGAAACCTAGTGATAAAGTCGTCAGCAAACATGCCTTGGTTAACCAGAGGACAGGGTTTTAAAGAATATCAATCGAAAATGCTATTGTATGCGAACTATTGAGGCGATATAACTGAAAGCCATTCAGTTACTAATGATGTAAGATTATTAAGATAAAACTGAAAAATAGCAGAATCCACTGTATTCATGAGGTTTAGTGTCTCAATTATTTGACGAGAATTCTAAGTTTCACAAGAGCATGCAGCTGGAATTCCGATGGAAGGAACCACTGACACCAAGGCAGGCAAATATTATCATTTGTTAGAGCAAATCAGATGGTTAAACGTTCTTAGTGCAGACTCAATCCAAGAAATTACGCCTATTGAAAGGAGGATGAGGCAAAAAACGTGAAAAAACTCCATTAATGTGAACAATAAAAATATTTAGCATTGCTTTAGAGTTTTATGTAGGAACTTAGAGTCCCATACGAGTTAATGCAATTTCATTTGTGAATGGATATAAGTGTGCTGCGTGAAGTGTTCGAAATTTCAACGTTCTGGATCAAACAACGATCGAGATTCAGGGGAAAACGAGAGAAAAGGAGTGGCAACAAAAGCGTTTCGTGCATTATATTGACCAAACTGTCGCTCAGTACAATCATTTCACCGCATGTAAAAAACCCATGGAAAAACTTGGCAGTAGGTAGTGCATTCAGAGACCTTACCTGAGAAGTTTCAGATGAACAGCAAACCAGGACAGGCAAGGGACCGGTAGTTCCCGTCGAATCGGACGTGAGAAGCATAGGCGAAGAACAATACGGTCGTGAGAGGGAAGGTGACGTGGGTAAAGAAGCTGGAGGCATCCTGGATGGTTGTAGGTCAACCAAAACAGGTCGCGGAGCCGTTGATATTGCGCCACCGGACCAGGTAGGGGCGGTAGAATTGGAAGGACAAGCAGACAACGGAGAGGAAGAAACGGGGGAGGAAAAAGAGTTGGAAGCGGAAGAGGATGAAGGGGGCAAAGCACAAACGACCGTCGGAGATTGGTCGAGAGGAATGCCCAAATCCGAACGAGGAACATAAAGAGTACCAGAGCGATTCGATCGACGAGGTGTAGTTGGGCAGTCGCCCAGATGCAAAGTGGATCCGGATGAAACAGGACTGGCCGTAGACCAGGCAACCGCGGTAGTATCACATTGACTCCGACCTAAACTGGTCGGAACTGATCCGGAAATGACGTCTTTTTCGCTTTCACATTCCCTGTAAACGAAAACGAAGAAAGGGATCTCGACTTCTATTGATAATTTTATTGAAGTCGTTAAAAATTGCGTTAAAAAAGGGGCAATGGATATCCACTCAATTATTAATCCTTCGCATAAGTCTTCGGCGAATTCATTGGCAAGTGCAGGTTTGGAAAAAACTATGTGAAATAACAGATTCGGACCACGTGATTCGAAACATTACATTACATTATTCGTGCCTCTAAACTAAGTGGCAGCTAAATTTCAAACTACTGCACAGGCTACGCAAGTGGGCCACGACAATGAGAATTATCCGACCGCTTAAACCCCTATTTCGAACGCTTTTGATCTTGAGGAGAACCATACGTCGAAGATCTACCGAGGACTCGCGAAAAGAGCAACAAGTACCAACCAACGAGTCGATCAGGTGACCAGGCCGGTTCTAGGCGGTGCACACAGAACGCCAACAAGTGTGTGAAAAGTAGTACAAGGGATGAGCGTCATGGCTGCATACGGCAGTTGTTCGATTTGGGAACCACAGCGAAGGTACTTCTAATAGAGGATTACCTTGAGCCATGATAGGATGAGTCCTGCAATGAAACGAGACTGTCACTAATACCAATTGCAGTATCTACCAGTATCAACATTTTCTCCGGTTTTATGGCATACAACAGCAAATTCAAGTCCCACAGTTTATAAGATCGTTATGGGCACAGTAGTTACAATCACCACGTAATCTACGTCTAATTTTTTTTATATGTCCACCTAGGATGAACGAAAAGGTGAAGACAGGCGTTTGTTTGGTCCAGAATTCGAATTTTTCATAATCCAGAACACCGCCATCCAAATATGAGACAGTAAATGAAATCTGTTGACGGATATGTCTAGAGGACTCGGCGACGGAAATTCCCACTTCAAAAGCACATGATACATATGTTANCAATTTTGAGGACAAAGCTCCGGCAGCACGTGAAGGTACACCGAACACTATAAACACAATCGGACAGAGACTGTGAGCTAGTCGAGCCTAGATGAGAGAAGGGGGTGGACGAAGTAACAGGCGTGAGGAGAGGGAGGGGGTACGTGGAAATAACGGTCCGTAAACAAGGCGAAGGATACTGAGGCAGTTGGGGTGAATTTAGATGAGGTTAGGGGTGTGTATACATATCAGTATGCGCAAGCTCCGACGTAATCGACGCGGAGGGACATTCATCTGCGTTCTGGGACAACTCAAAAGCGATGGTAGACGCAGGAGACAAGAAAGGAGGCGGAAGGGGGAGCACGTGACAATGGTTCATCGACTTTCAAAAGCCTCCGTAGTACAGCGCGCGACACCAATACAGACATTGTGAATGTCTGTATCTGTAGGGCAGTTCAGCCAATGCTGAGTCAGTCTTGTGATACATACCTCGTTGTTCGTACCACGTGAGTGAACACACACAGGTCATCGGCCGAATCAGTTCGAACACGGGGTGCAAAGCTGGACTGACCTAGTTTTGGTCAACGACGACGGTGGCGGTGGAAGCGGCATGCGTCCGCTAGAGCGGTGTTTGTGGAGGTAATACAAACGCAGGTAGGTAAACTATAAAACATTTAAGAGACAGTAAATGGCGCCAGTTTTTTATGTAAATGATCGGATAACCATTTTCACGTGCTGTGTGGAAACGGCTAGTAGAAACCTGGGTGGATCCATAGCTGCGATGCCCGTATCACGGTTTTATCTAGCATTAAACACAATTGATGCGTTCAACTTCAAGATGCTATGTACGTAACCACATAAAAAGTGAAGTTACCAATGAAAATTTTCGAGGAAATGCTAGTAATAAAGGCAGTAGATCAACGACGAGGGTATGAAAATGCGCAAGGCAATGGATATCAGTTCACATGGCAATTTCAAACCGAGACAATCAATCCGGACGGTATGAATGGAAAGAAAATTTACGGAACAGGGTCACATCAAACAATAAGTTCAATCAGAAAATGCCAGGTATACCGAGACTAGAGCTTAAAGGATTTCTTCCGAGTGAGTGGGCTGTCAGACACGGATAAGACTTAAAACCTAGGTACAATGACAAGGTGGTTGCTGAAATGCACGGTTCACGTATGTAGTTAAGGGCAGACATTCTTCGAGGGAAACCAGCAGATTCAACAGACAGGATAATTTGGTGACCAGAGTTACTGAAACATGGGCGCTCGAATTAGCCGACTGTGGTTCATTCACCTATTCTGAAGAGCATCGTCGGGTAAAAAGAACTTTGTGACAGACAAAGGCTATGTTCAGTGGTGGGCCATCACTGAAAACTATCACATCAGCGAGCACTATCGCAAATCGTCCACGATCACTTATTTGGTGAACCCATAACCACTTTATTCATTATTGGCCGCAAGTTGCAAGCCATCCCCCTATCCGTGACCTTGGAGACGCGCTCCGTAATGCGCAGTTCTGCTCTTCTGAGGCGTATGCAAACAAAGGTATAGAAGGTAACCAAGTGGAGGATTGAAAAAGTGTTTGAAGCAGTGGACATCATGAACCAGGCAGGGGAAATTACTCTTCTATTGACGGGTAGCAGAAAAGAAACACGTAGTGGCTTTGCAAGTGCTTTCAACCTAGATTTATGCAAAAAGTGAATCGAATGGAGAAAAGTAGAAAACGTGTAGAATATGGGTAAAAAATGAGAAGGGCAGGATAATCGCAGGTCGGTAGAGAGTGATTATCAAATGTAGATGCTGATGACCATGCCCCGAGGAAGTGCAGAGTAGTTGAACGAAATAAATGGATAAAACGCTTCATTCACAATTTGAATTTTAGTAATGAGAGAAAACCAGCTAAATAAGACCACCAATGTAAGACAACGAAAGGTGCGATACACGGAGAGCGAGAAACGGTAATGTTTCTTGTCGTACTTTGTGGCACGGTGTTGATGGATCCGCTTTCAGGAATTGAACTTCGGGCTGATCCATTCATTTGGACAAGCGCAACATAAACGACAAACCACTATACTGTTTGATACCCACAAGGCTGGAAGCGGTTTTTCGCTTGCGTACAGAGGCTTCTCATAATGCTAGGGAGAACCCACTCCTACATGCATCTGACGTAGTTTGATATTGAAAACTTAGTTCCACTCTTATAAACACAAGAAGAGAAGAAGTTTGTCTGCCTTTGCTTGCCAGTGTATTTGAGACATGATATGTCCATCATAGATATCATGAAATTGTTGAGATCAACATAGCTCGAGTTTACAAGCGAATTTCAACCGGTGTATGGCATTCACCAAAACGGACAGTGATAACAAGAACAGTATGAGGAACCCCGCTTGGGACCTACTGAAAAGACAACCTCGACCGGCAGACCGAGTCACATAGGTTGTATCAGACGATGGTCGGGATACACATGGACTGTGAAATAAGGGGAACCAAATAAAATGCGGATAGATTAAAAGCTTAACAACTAAAACGACTTCGCTCCACATTACCAAAAAGCATTATGGAGGAGATTAATTGATAAGTGGATAGATAGAGACAACCATTGATAAGAAGGGCGAGGAGTTTAGTGGAGCCGAATCAAAGGCGCGGTTCGTCGGTGAATCAAAACGAAATCCCATATAGGTTGACAATATGTGCGTGGATAACAAGAAGGGAGATGTACACTGTGGTCTTACCTGAGTAAACTATGATAATGAATTGAGAGAGGTTCTTGTAACACACCTTCGGTCACAGTCAGCCTTACGGATGAAGATTGATCCGGTGTGCGATCCAAGGAAAGCGTATCACCAAGCCGCATTGGACGTACAGGCAAACTGAACGTGTGCAAAAAGAACCACCGATCATCTAGATGGACTCGATAGACCGGACCGTTCAGAAGAATACGGATGGGTCTCGAGGCAGCCACTGTAGGTTGTCCAGGGGGATGGTCTTCCTGGTCCAACGTGGCTTGAATATCAGCTAAAGGACTAGGAGGAGTGCACCAACGGGTTGCTTGGTTCAAAACTGAAAAGCAGGATGAAACGAAACGGGGGGAGGAGGAGAAAACGGTTCTATGGTTAAAAGTTTTTTTTCGGCAGTAGAAAATCGTGCATAAGCTGGACGAGCATGTAAAGCTAAAAATCACTGCAGGTAAGAACCGTCCCAGTTACCCAGGTTTTCATTCATACTCATGCAAAAAGCAATGGGTTGAGTGTATTTCGCATGATTGATACTATCCGACGTGTGACTTAAGTCTGAACCGCACCACGCAACTCCACTTTTGTCTTCATTTATATGCACTAATCGGTACCTGTGGTAGGTCTTTCTGAGATTGATCGAGTTTCCGGGAGAAAAAAACAAAAACAAGGGATCCGAGTGATTGTTGAAGCATGGATCTGTACGGACATACACAAGGGACACGTCATTCGAAAGGCCCGAATGTCTACATTAAGTAAACCGTCGTTTCATAAAAAGAAGTCCGGATGATTACTGCCCATCAATGTTCAAATGGATAACTGACTAACTTAGTTTTGGCACTAGAAATTCCCCTCTACATAAACTGAAAATTGAAGGAGAAAAGAGCGTTGCCANGAATTCATGAGTACGCAATCTGTTCCACGTAATTAGCTTTGGTGTGGTGCGATATATATATATATATATATATATATATATATATATATATATATCGCACCACACCAAAGCTAATTACGTGGAACAGATTGCGTACTCATGAATTCGACGAGAGTTGAGTACAAAAAGTGAATAACTGCCGGTAGTGTTGATGTCATTAAATTAAGGTGCTGCAAATTCACACTGTGGAATGTAGAGCGAGATGATGTTCTGCAATGCAACATTGATGATGACAGTGCAGATTACCGGAACTTTGTAAGTATGTGCGTGTGGAGGTTTCAATTCAAATAAAACGGATTACCAAAGGCAGTCCAATGTGATCACAACGGGAAGCGAAATCACAAGCGGTTTCAGTCATACACCGATTGCCGAGGCACGTGAAAGAACAAAAAAGTGTAAAACCACTCAAAGCACCGGTTTCCTGCGATCACACAGAAAATGCATATCCCACAACGCAATTCAATGCACCAGTGTAATGCATGAAGCATAGCACTGAAGGGGTATGCATACACCCAGTGTTTTGAACGAAATCAGTGCTTGTAATCAAACTGGCAGCACCAATATGGAACGGTTACAACTAGGCGAACATCACCAGTTCCGAACGAAACACCGGGTTGTTGATATGAACACATGCTTGCGTCAATCTGAGACCACCACGGATTATTGTTTCACTTGACGCGAGCTGATAGACCGAGCGCAGGAAACATGTGCGTACCTAAGTGAATGGCAACTATTCAGAGCTACACCTAGCAAACTCAAAATGTAACTGCTAACCAAATGGAAGGAGTCAAATCTCAACTTCCTTGAACCAGAATGGGACAACTAACTCAAAGAATATTTACGAAAAAATGAAATGAAAAAGGTGTACACTGCAGAAGAGTCAGAATTACAAATTCGATGCGGATTAATTACAAATAATATGAAGGTGGATTTTCGAGATGGCCTTTACACAAAACGGAGTCACCAGAGTACACCGAAACCAATCGAAAGAGATGAACATGAGAAAAACGAAATACTAACGGAGGGGATCAATTAGCCAGCAACGATAACAGCATCGAATGTTTAAAAAATTGAGAGAAGTGAAAGGTTTCATTTCACCTGTTCGCCGAGCTTGGCACTTTGTTTGCAAACGTTTCATCACCAGCCGAGGTGACATCATCAGTGCTTGTGAAGTGACAGTGTTCTGCTTGCACCCGTTAGTTTATATTTGTGTTCTTCTCCAACGACTAATTTTGTCTCTTGTTCTCACTGTGTTCGACTCGGTTCGCCGTTAACCTAGCACAAGGAGTGATGGTGGGAGGGGAGGAGGTTGTCCGTCCGCCTTGATTGTGGTTTCGCTCCGATCGCAGGTCATGGCGTGACCTTTTTTCTTTGCGTCATTTGATCCCTCCTTCAGTTGCATCGACGTGAGTTCTATGTGCCTGTTAATTGAGTTGATTGAAAAGTGCTAAGCCTCGAGAGGGTCACTGGCGTGTTTTGATCGGGCTTAGCCGATAGTTTTCACCGATTCGAAGTCAAACTGATACCCTTCTTGATCTTCGAGGAGAGAAATCAACGATAGTGGGTCATGCCTCCTGACTCGATCGATGTCCACGGATCTTTGCTGATATTGTTCTTCCAGTTTGTCCGATATAGTGTATTGGGTAGTTTTTGCTGCTCTTGTCCTTCTCCATTGTTCTCTTCTTNTTTCCAAATCGTCCTTAATGTACGGCAGGGTCGTTCTTGTTCCCGATTCTTCGTCTGTTGTTTGTTTCCTTCTTTTAGTCAGAGTTCTTTTGATGAAGTTACGGATTAAGCCATTCGGAGCAAATACTCTGAAGAGGCCCCTTTCTTCTTTCTTCTCGAGTACGTCGGTGCCGCATTGCGTTTGGGTTCTTCCGAACACGGTCCTAACACAGCATCTTTTGTGGCTGTGTAGATGATTACTTTTGAAGTTTAGGATATGATCCATACGCGTTGCTTTGGGGTACACCGTTGTCTCCAGTTTTCTTGATGGCGTTCTGATGATCAAGATGTCCAAAAATGAGTGTTGTTTATCCTTCTAAGTTTCTATTGTGAATGTGATGCCATTGAATGGGTTATTGATGTTGTGTGCTCTTTTTAGTTCCAACTTCT